CCTGAGGGTCTGTGCAGCCCCCTTCTAAGTGGAGTTGAAGAGGTGGTTGGTCTAGGTTTAGTGAAGTGGTGTGAGGGCAGGGCTTTTCCATTCATGAAACCTTGAGGCTTTTCAGTGAGGGGCCAGTGCTCGGTTTCTGCCCTGCACTCACCAGAGGGCTCCCTGCTGTGCTGCTGGGGTCATACCTGTACTGCCTCTAACTGGGTCCTGCCGGTTGTGTGCCCACCACGAGGACGCTGAGCAGCAGTGATGACCATAAAATTGGATGTGGGGGTCAGTTTCTGGGAAATTGCTTGAGAGTTAAAGCATTCAGCTTAACTGATAATATCATGAGTAGGGTTAAATCTGATCACTGAAAACTGCCGCGTATAACTAGGGCAATGAGCATCAACTCTTGAGAAATAAGCAGATATTTCGAATAACAGATTCAGAGAATTCTGGGAGACTTACTATGAAGCATTGGCTGTCCTTGACGGGCTCCGGGGGTGGAGACAGCCGGCCCGGCAGATGAGCTGCCCAAAAGATGGCGGAGGCTGTCAGCAGGTCTGGTGTGTGGACTTGTTTGGAACTCTCCAGTGCGTTTGTCTTTTGCATGTTAGCTTTGAGGAGAATCATGTCCTATGGCTGCTCTTTTTTTTTTTTTTTTTATAAAGTCAAGTCCCTGTAAAGTTGTAACCTAAATTTGTGTTTCCCCTCAGCTGTTTGGCCATTATTAATGTTTATAGAATGTTTCAGGATTTTGTTAAAAGAATTATTTAACTTTGTTTACTTTTTAAAATTTGACCAGAGAGGGAGGGAGAGAGAAAGAGAGCAAGCTGCTAGGTCCAGGACTTGAACTGCAGTCGGCAATGTAGAAGTCCAGCACCCTTAACTACCATGCCACCTGCTGGCCCCTAGAATGTTCCAGAGTTTTAAAGGCCACATGCCCTATATGGGCCTAAGTTTAACTTTTTGCCTGACAGCTAGGACCCCAGAGCATATGAAATTGGTCCTGTATTTATTATACTTCAGCCACATGAGACAGCCCCTCAGCATGGGCCTTGCTCTCCTGCACTGCACTGGGGGGAGGCCCTCACAGCGCAGCAGCAGTCTCTGTTTGAAGGGAGGGAGGGGCAGAGAAGGTGTTGGTGTGTGCTGAGCAGCATCAGGTGGAACCTGCAATTTGTTGTGGTCGCCATCCCATAGAAGGGAAGAATGGGAAGCTGGCCCCCGACCACACAGCCCTCAACCTGTGGGAATCTATGCAGAGGTCTGGATTGAGTGACAAGAACCAAGAGGCATAACTAGCTACATCTTTATTTTCTGGCCTTCTAGAGCACAACCAGGGTTGCTGGGAGGCTGAGGCTTGTTTGGAAGCCTCCGTCCCTGTAGAGTAGCTGTGTTGAGCTGAAGTTCCGCCGTTGCGGTAACCATCTGCCCTTTCTCACTGTGGCCAGAGACCTTTTAGTTGGCTACTGATCATGGGCACTGGGTAATGTAGAAGATGGCGGGAGGGTGCAGCCTCCACCCTCAGTGTTTACCACCCCCAACCCTATCCTGGCTGGCTCTGGCCTGCCTCTGAGTAGAGCTGAGCTAGTTTTCTCAGCCTTATGAGAATTTGTTTCTTAGAAGTGGCTAACTTCAGGGAAGGCTCCAACTTGCTTAGTGTTTCCTGGCCTTGGCATGTTGACCAGTCCTTCAGTGATTGTGGTCATGGTGGCCACAGGTACTGTGGCCTGGATAGGATTTGCCCTAGCTGAGGATGGACCTGTGTACTTGAGGACATTTGGCTTGAGACACAGAACAAGCTTTTTCCTCCTTCCTTTTTGAGGGCCCCTAGGTGGTGGGCCTGTCCTGCTTCCCTGCACTAAGACCCCATCCTTGCCTCACTTTTTTCCTTTTATCCTTTGGTCTTTTTTGTTTTGTTTTTGTTTCACAAGGAAGGAGAGAGAGGGAGAATCCCGCTCCCCCTCAAACCCCCAGGAGGGATGGCCATGGCCACATTCTTCTCTCGGGATTCTGGGCATGTGTGCACACACACACTTGGCATGTTTTTTAAGCCACCGGGACTTGAACTGCTAAGTTGGTCATGTGAGATCCAGCCACCTTAACCACTGTGCTGCCGACTGGCCCTTGCTCACTTATCTGGGTGCGTTTCAGGTGCTGGGCCGCAATGAATGGGAGGTATGAAGTGGGTTCTCTCTTTGGTCGCCTGTGCCTTCCAGGCCCTTAGCCTGATGCCTGTGTGTTTACAGGGCTGTCTTTTCTAGGTTTTCCTTTGTGGGTTCAGTGTTGAATGCTTTGATTAAGGACTCAGCAATGTGGGGGCTCACAGGTGCCTCTACCCCAGTCAGGAGACATTTAGGAGGAATATGCCATCATTTTGTGACAGAGGGAATGCCTCTGGGGGCTAGTTTACTCCCATTTACTCCCAACTTACAGACGGGGAACGACCCTTGTGGTCTGCACGTCTTTATTGTACTTTGCTCAAGTTATGCCCTCACTTTAGCCCTCAGCTCTTACTCCAATAAAAACTTTAACACTTTCTCGTCTTGTTCCTCTCTTCCTTTGCATCCTCACCCACACTTTTACTATCCCTGTGCAACTTGAAGTGAGAATTCAGGTGGGACTTCAGGTCTCTATGAATTCAAATGGTGGCTCAGTTTGGGTTATATTTTTATTTTTAATCCCAAGGGATGTGTGTGCTTGCCAGAAAGAGGGTGAGAGAAAGCATCCTCAAATGGGACATGGTCATGCAGTCCTTTTTTCCTCCTTTTCTCCATCCTGTCAGGACATTGGGCTTATGCACAGTGTTTTTCAAGCCCCCTGGCCAGGATTCAAGCTGCCACCAGTCACGTGGGATCCAGCTCTCTGCACAAGGTGTGACTACTGCACCAGGGGATCTGCCTAGTTTGCCTAAAATCTTACGGGCTCCTAGCTCTTAACAGGCACCCTAAGGGCATACCTGGCAGGGCCCTGGTCTTGCATCTCTCTTATTTGCCTGGAGATGGTCCAAAAAGGCCACTACCTCTTCCCTTTTAAGTTAATGAGCCTTTCTCTTTGATCCCTAAACTAGGCATTTTTTCCTTTATTACATAAATCTTAATTTCATTTGTTGCCTCACTGATAAAAATAGCTGATCATTAACTAAAGGAGGGAGGACCTTTTTAAGAACAGAACTGTCACAGACTCTGATGAAGCTTGCCCTGAGTGCCTGATAGCTACCTTTCCTCCAGGCCAGCACCGTGAGCCATGACCTGCTTGGGGGACACCCTCTCCGGGGCTCTGGGAGCATCCAAGGACTTGCCCAAAACCTCAGTTATCAGGCAGCAAATCTTGGAGCTCTGTACTTCCCAAGGGTGTGCGGGGTGGGCTGCAAAACCCAGAGCTGAGGCTCAGGAGCAGCTCACGGTCACTGAACCTTGTCCCTCGTTGCCCTGCCCCTCTGAACGTTACACCAAACCTTGGCATTGTTAAACTCGTGTTTTTCCATGGGACTTTTGAAGGACTAAGTTCTGCAAGGATGGACTGGGCTGTGCAGCGCTGCGTCCTGGGGCAGCAGAGTCGGTCAGGACCACAGCGTGTTCAGAGAGAAGATGCGCTTAGACCCACAGGGTCCAGTCCAGGAATGCAGTGTCAAGTGTGGGTGGGTGACGGTTTTATTGTGCTCAGCCACGAATAAAAAAAAGAGCCACAGATGCCAAGCAGCTTATGGTCAAATATCCTTCCAAGTTTAACTTCTTAAAGACTGGCCACTTCAATATATTCTAAAAGCGGCTTTTATTATCCAGGGAGGTAATATGCTTTAGTAAGAACAAATACATTGACGTGATTTAAAAGTAGCCGTCAGTGGTGTCAGAACTTGTAAACCAGCTAGTCTGTTTCTCTCAGATAGAATCAATGACATACTTTCCCCGAGTATCGATGGCTCAAATGAGCTTGCAGACCATGGGGGTGGTCTGTGGTGGCTCAGGATCTCCCTCTTTTTAGGGAGGTGAACTTTTTCCCAGGGACCCCTGAGGTTAGACACGGCCATTGTGGGTGAGGAGGTGCCCTGTCAAAACCCCAGAGATGGCGGTGCTTGTGGCCTCTCGCAGAACTACTGCAGCCTGTGCGTGTCAGCACCGCCCCCGCTGCCCACATTAGCTCAGCTGGACACAGGAATGCTGGCTCACCCTTCGCCATCCCTGTTCTCAGCTAAACCATGGCTTCTCCTTCCTGGAACATGCTCTTGCATTATTGATTTTTATCACCGAGAGTTCCCCAGGCCTTGTTGCTGCTCAATTGCCTTTCTTCAAAGGGATGCAGAGTGGGAGATGAAGTTGCAAAGATACTGCAATTGATGCGGAAAGATAACTAAAAAGGCAAGCAGCCTGTTAAAGAGAAACTGGGTGGGACGAGGTGCCAGATCCATTCAGAAGGCCGCTGCATGCCAGGCTGAGGTGCTGCGCCCAGAAGCTGGTTGGGGAGGGTCTGCTGGGCTTGGGTATTCCTGTGAGAGTCCTGGCTCTGCAAGGAGCAGGCACCTCCCCTCACCTGTCTTGTTTTCTGTGGGACCAGGACAAGGGGGGCTGTGATGACCCTGCCTCAGTTGGGGCTGAGGACTGCCGCTCCCATTCCCCAAACCTGCCCAGCACCTATGCCCCTCTTTGAAGAGAGCCGACTCGTGGGCAGTGAGCAGGGAGGAGACTGGTGTTGGTGACATAGATGCTTGAAGGTTTTGTCTTCAATTGTCAGAGTGTACGTGCACTGGTCAGAGAGGGACAGGGAGAGGGAAGAAGCACCCCCCCAGTGGGGCACGGTAACACTGCAATCCCTACTCCATTTCCTCATCCTGTTGGGAATTTGGACATGCATACACAAACAATTGGTGTGTTTTTCAAGCCACCAAGAGTGGGATTTGAACTGTGGTTGGCCATGTGAAATCCGGCTTCCCTTAACTGCTAGACCAAAGAGCCAGCCCAGTAGGTACAGGTTTAATGAAAGCTTTTTGTCTAAAGCTCCTTGACTCTAGCCTGTAGCTATACACAGAATGGCATCTTACATATGTTGGACAGAAATAAGAGAATCAAGCCTCGGCCAGAAAGGTTCCAGAACTGCAAAGACCTGTTTGATCTGATCCTCACTTGTGAAGAGAGAGTCTATGACCAGGTAGTGGAAGGTAAGAGTGCATGTTTGCCCTACTTTGCTGGTGGGGAGGGACCAGTGGGGTGACTCCCCAGACCAAGTCAAGGCCAGAGGGGCCAGGCATAAGCATGCAGAGGACCCTGAAAAGCTGGGAGGAGGCTGGGGATGTGCACTTTCTAAAAAAGTGACGATATGGGACCAGCAGTTAGCGTAATGGCTATGTTGCTGGACTCCCATGTAGTTGACTGTGGTTCAAGTCCCAGACCTGGTGGCTTAAACTCAAACTGGGCATGTGCACATGCATGCCCAAGACCCCAAGAGGAGAATGGAGGAGAAGGGATTGCAAGGGGGCTATCCCCCCTGGGGGATGATTTCTTGCTGTCTCTCTCTCTCTGGTGAGCACACTCGCCCTATAGAGAAAGCCTCTCCAAAAAAAAAAGAAAAGAAAAAAGTGACGACATTCATCCAAACAAAACTGCCTGTTGTCTGCTGAGCCTGTTTGACTTCAGGGTTTGCTTTGCGTGTGAATCGAGCATAGTACCAGGGCTCGGGGGCTGGTGTCTGGCAAATGAAAAGTAATGAGGCTAACAGGCACTTCACCCAAGGATTCGGCAAATGTTTGAAGGTGAAACTGACCTTGTGTAGAGTTTGGCACCTGCTGTGGTTCCAGTAACTCATGACCACGTTCTGAACAAGGATCGTGGGAAGAGGTTTTTCAAGCATAGTTTGATACTAAGTCCTTAATTGTGTTCTTCAAACCCCAGAGTCCAGGAACAGTTGAGGCTGGGCCAGAGGACATGGCCATGCTGACCTTGGTCCCCTACTTCTGGGAACTCTGACATCTGTCATTTTGTCCCAATCAGATCTGAATTCCAGAGAACAGGAGACCTGCCAGCCAGTGCATGTGGTCAATGTGGACATCCAGGACAACCATGAAGAGGCCACCTTGGGGGCCTTCCTCATCTGTGAACTCTGCCAGTGTGTAAGTGTCAGTGAGTCTGGGTCCTCGTTCCTGCCCCTGGGCTGTGCTGGGTCAGAGGCTCTGGAAAAATCCCCAAGTATTCCCAGCTGGGCCAGTCTCACTGCATCTGTTTTGCAAAGGTTGAGAGATTCCATAACTGCCTAACCTGGGCAGAAATCTTCCTCATCGTAAGTGATGGCCACACTACTCAGTTTGCATTCGTGCTGTTTTCAAAGTTCAGATGTGAATAATTACAGTGGGGTCTACATGTTTGTGAATCGACCAAATGACTTTGGCTTGAGGCCATTTTTGTCCCTTTCTCTAGCTGTTGATAATGGTACAGTGAAAATAGCCATGTGTGTCCACCACACTCCCCTAAGACAGACCTTTATGATGGAGTGGTTGGCGCTTGGTCTCTTCCCCCTGGTGGACCCTTAGCCCCCAGTACAGCTAACTGGGCAAGTAGCATTCCTGGCTGGGTGGGGTCTATCCTGTGTGAGCTGGAGGCCCCCAGAGGTGACAGTCCAGACCTCTGACCTTGCTCAAGGCATGGGGAGGGTGAAACAACACAGAGAGACCCACATGCCTTGTCCTTCTGCCCTTGGGCTCCATGTTTAGATCAGCTGGCTGTGAGTGACAGAAAACAAAAACAATGGCTTAACCAAGGGAGAAGTTTGGTGTGTTCAAGAAGCTGAGAGATGAGCAGGCCTGGGCTCATGGAGAAGTTGGCTATGTGGGAACCAGGTTCTTGCTCCCTGGTTGCTCAACCCAGCACATCTGTTCCCAAGATGTCTGCAGTCCAGTGCAGCTGCCAGGGCTCCAGCTGTTGTGCCATGATCCGGCCGGCATACAGGAGAAAATGCTAAAAGGGAAGACATGTCCCAGAAGCTGTGTATGTGACTTTTGTCTGGGTCACACTGCCAGAGCTGAGGCATAGAGGGCCCACTCCTCATTCAGAGCTGCTGACCATGCTGGCGAGGGCTTGGAACAAAGGGAACGGTGGCAGTGGGATGGAGTGCTAGCCCTCTTCACATGAGGGCATCGGTTGTCCATCAGGGATCCGTTGGGCAATGTCTGGCGGCAACTGTGTTTCTCTCAGCTGGGAGGGACACCCCAGGCATGCTGCTTGACACCCTGCAGTGCATAGAACGCCCCCTAGAGTGTGGGCCAGCTTCCTCCCTGGCCGACATAGGGCAAGTGACAACCCCTCTGTGCCCCAGTGCACTCATCTGTAAAGTGGGGGCTGCAGGGGTAGAAAGGGAGCTGTGTACATGTTCATGGGACACATGAGCTGCTGAGGCCACATCCTGCTGTGGCTCTTCTACAGGCCCGAGCCCCAGCCTGAAGGCTTCAGAGCCTGGTCCCTCCTTCCAGAATCCAGGTCTACGCTCCTCCTGGTCTGTGAGGAGGCCGAGTGCTGTCTGGAGAGGGCTGTGGCTTCCCTGGCTGGCCTTCATAGCTCTCCCAGGGCAGACACCTGTTAGTCTCTGGAGCCTCGGCTGGCATCAGGGCAGAGGCAGTTTGGTGTGGGCCTTCTAGCAATCCTGGGTGCTGGGGCCCAGGCTGGTCCCCCTTGGCTCTCAGGTGTCTGTGTGGTTGAAGACGCAGCTTCAGGAAGGGGCTGGGACAGCACTCTCTCCAAGCTGCAGGGCTGTGCTGCTCTGAGCACCACTGTGTGTCGCTTACCGGCTTTGCTGTTCTTGCCAGATTCAGCACACAGAAGACATGGAGAACGAGATCGACGAGCTGCTGCAAGAGTTTGAGGAGAAGAGTGGCAGGACTTTTCTGCACACGGTCTGCTTCTACTGACACCAGCCCAGGCCCTGCACGCCGCCACCCTCCTGAAGCCATCTTCTGAAGCTTCTTCCTTTTGTTAATAGTTTTCCTTCCTGATACTTGTTTTTACGTTCAAGTGTTCTGCCGGTGGATGGTAGTCTTGCCCAAATAAACTGTACATATTAAATGAGAATATATACATAAATACCAGATTAAGAACAGTTTTCCTATCCCACTTTTACTAATGAGTGGGATATTAAAGTTCTTTTTTTCCTTCCACCAAAAATAAACGGTCTATAGTACATTTTCCCACATGCTTGTCTCTTTCAGTTGCACCTGCCTTTTCCTTTCCTCTCCCCTAACTGGCTGGACTGTACAGATACTCAAATAAAGCAATGGGCTGCACCTACTAGGAGAGGACATGGAGCTGTCCAATAAATAGATGCTGCTGTTCACCTCTGCTTTGTTCTGAGTTTCTGGCCCTGCCTTCAGCACCTCTGATGGCTGCCGCAAAGCCAGGGGGAGCCAAAGCCAATGTTCTCCACAACCTGTGGGCCCCGTGCAGCAGAAAGCTGGACCCTCCCCAGTGAGGGCTGCTGCGCACAGACAGAATGGTGTCCCTTCTCCCTGTGAAACCCGCTCCTGAGCCAAGATTAATTGTCCCCAGGCAGCCAGGTGACCCGGCTTTCTACCATCACGGAAGGAAGGACTCAACAGGCCAGTGCCTCGGGGGCTCTTTGCTGTCCGAGATGGCGCTCACAGGCCTCTGACCTGTGCCAGCCCAGCCCCAGCATCAGCGGCA